CATCCCTCACCATGGCAGCTCTGGGCCATGTCTCTGAAGCGTCAGCTATTCTCTTTGTGTTCAGTGCACAAATCTTCTGAGCAATCAACATTGTTACTGAAAAAAGAGTCATCCAAAAATTTCGTGTTTATTTGACATGGCAGTGTTAGAAATATTAAGGAGGAAAATTACTTTTGGAGAAATAATTCTTTAATAAAATGAACAAAAAATTAGTAATGCTGAATGACATACCCAAACATTTAAATAATTTAAGGGATTTTGAAAGCATCGAGGTTAAAATTTTCAGGTGCAAGCTTATTTCTTTAAAATAATGAGTCAAGACAGACAGTAGATTGAAAAGTGATAGAGACAGATGGTATATAGACAGACATACTGGAGATATATATACATACATACATATGGAGGGTGCATGTCTATCTACATATATAGAGAGGGGAAAGTATATAGATAAATAATATTGGGTATTTACTTGGTTATGGAAGGATTTTTCCCCTAAAATTATTTATTGTATACATATTTTAAATTTTATTAAACTAGACAAAGGAGAATAAAGGGAAGGGAAGGGGAATGAGAAAAGGAAAGACAGTGAAATGAATCTGACATAACTTTCCTAGGTACATATATGAAGATACCACAGTGAATCTCACCATCATGTACATCCTCAAGAAATTAATTTTAAAAAAAAAACTATGGGTAAATGGCAGAAAGATCAATAAAGAGAAGGAAGCAGGGGGTGAGGAAATGAAAGGGGGAGGAGAGGTACTGGGATCTGAATTAGAATAAGATAAATTCCATGCTAGTATAATTACATTAAAATGGATTCTACTGTCATTATATAACTAAAAAGAACCAATAAAATAAATATTTGAAATAGTTTTTCAGTATATAAATCCCACTTCTAGAAATCTCCTAAGAAATCCTTCAATCATTTTTAAAGACTTCTTTTAAAATAAAGGTTATGACAGTGTTATCTATAAAAGGAAGAAATTAGAAATAATCTAGGTATCTAACAAGTTGAAAAATATTAAGGAATATGATACAACAATTTAAAATGATGGTATCAAAGGGTCTGAGACTTTAAATATCATTGTACTAAGGTTTGTAAGAAAAGTACTATCACAAATTTGATAAGATACCAACATTAAATCAGGCAAAGAAATAAAAGTCACATGGTGTACAGTAGTCCCCTTATCCATAATTTCACTCTCCATAGTTTCAGTTACCCTGAATCAATCATAGTCTAAAAATATTAAGTGAAAAATTCCAGAAATAAACAATTCATAAATTTAAAATTAGACACCATTCAGAGTAGCCTGATGAAGCCTTGTTCCATCCTGCTTTGTCCTGCCCACATCATGAATCATCAAATTGTCCAGTGTATCCAAACTATATCCAACAATCCGCCATTTCATCCCTGTCAATCACTTTTGTAGTCATTCTGAGTCTCAGATCAACTGTGGCAGTATCACAGGGCTGTGCTCAGGTAACCCTTACACAGTAGCTTAACACCATGTCACAATGCCTCCTACATCAGCCCCTTCACTTCATCTCATCACCCAGGCATTGTATCATCTCACATCACCATCAGGAAGGGGTGAGTTTAGTACAATAAGATACTTTGGGAAAGAGAAGGTCTACATTTACATAATTTTATTATAATATATTGTTATAATTGTTCTATTTTACTATCATCACTGTTAATCTCCTATTGTACCTAATTTATAAATTAAATTTTATCATACATATGTATAACCTGAATGTGTATAGGAAAAGACAGTATATATTGTATGTGGTGCTATCCATGGTTTGTATATCCACTGGAAGACTTGGAATATTTTACCTGCAGATAAGAGGGGACTACTGTACTAAAAATGCACTGAAAAAAAGTCACTAAAGACTTAAGAGTAAAAATTGACTAATAGATATTATATACATTGTGACCTGATGTTGTATATTTACATATTGTTTATTCCTTGTTGTCTCCCTAATGCGTAAGTGTTTCAAGGATAATCATCTTGTCTTTCACACTCTTCTACAACATATAACACATAATAGATGCTGAGTAAAATGTGTTGAACAAATTGAGAATTTACCCTGGAGTTCTTTGAATATGAATCTTAGTGTACTTCATATATGGCTGAAAATGTAAATATATATATATATATATATACACACACACACACACACACACACACACACACACACATACTGTATGGAAAAATACACTAACCTGTCTGTATTAATTGTTTAAGAATCTCAAACTACAGGCAAAATATCCCATAAAAGTCAGATGACCAGTCTGATGGTCTAAATATAGGTTAATAGAATGTAGGATTTGAAGGAAACTTAAAGATTATCTTGTGTTCAATACAATACTTTCATTCATAAATCATAAGGTATCAGCACCACTCAAGATATAGGGACCTGGATTACCAGATAGATTCTGATTAGAGGTCTCTCAAGACCTAGTTCAGGATTTGGATACACACACAGACAGACATATAGCAGAGTTGGGACATCTGTACAAATGACTTGCGATATCCATGATCTCAAGTTTCAGAAAGCAATAGAACAACAAAACCTCAAATCCCTCAGTCACAAGCAGTTTGAATATCCTAGAGCATCCCAGGGTTTGACACACAGGTCAGGCATTCAGCAAGATCCCAGCTGACCAAAAAATGCATTTGTCAGAACATCTTGAAGAGGGAAGTCCCCAGTTCCTGAACGTTCTATGATAGGAAGAAACTCACCCTTTCCTCTTTGATCTTTCCGTGGCTAGCAATGGCTCAAACAGCTCCTCGTCTTGTTTCAAATTCATCCTTTCTCTTCATCAGTATTCCATCTTATGGCTATTCATTTGTGTCACCTTTGATAAATTTTAAATCATTTCCCATTGATAATATTTCTATTAGTGAAACTGTACTATTCTTGTTAATTTACAAGTGAACCACTGATATGTTAAAATGTAGATATCAGGGAGATCATGCTGCCCTTCATCATTTGCAACAGATTTGAATTGTACTTCTTTTCATAGATTTTGGAATATCCTATAACTTCCCCAACATTTGTAAAAATTGTCTTCCCTAAGATTTGTAAAAATTCTTCAGGAATTTGTTTATCTTGTTAATCTATCACAGAAGGAAAGGCGCCATACCACATAAAACAAGCAAGTTTACATATTTTTTGCCACCATGTAATGCAATACATATACTACAACATGTAGAGCCAGATAATAATCTAAACTTTTTCCTTTTCCTTCTAAAAAAATGTGTAGAGTACCATATGTTTCAGACTGTACTGTAGGTCGGAATGATTTTGGTATTTTGCAAGAAGTAATTCAAACTATTGAAAATACGTTTTAGCACCCCTGTTTACCAAAAAAGATTCCAAATACTTGCTTCCCAGTCTCAACTGGGAAAGGGAAGGAAGCTAAGGGCAGGGAGTGAAGGTCTCTTTTGTTATACTCCAAATATTAGCTTTTCTGGAGGGAGGGGGTATGAAGGATTGAACCTAGGGGCACTTAACCACTGAACCACATCCCCAGCCCTTTTTATTTTTTATTTGGACACAGGGTCTCACCGAGTTGCTTAGGGCCTCATTAAATTGCTGAGACTGGCCTTGAACTTGGATCCTCCTGCTTCAGCCTTCTGAGCCCCTGGGATTACAGTCATGCACCATCAAGCCCAGCAATTAACTTTTAATCTACCATAAATATCACATACCCTTTTCTCCATTTGTGCTTGTCCTTTCATTTTTTGTCTGGCATTTTTTTGCAACATAACTTTAATATATTCTAATTTATCAATATTCTGCCTTTGTTATTATAAATACCTTCCCTTTCATGTACATTCATGTACATTTTCTTGTAGTATTTTTACCATATATTTAAACTTTTTAACATTCACAAAAAAATTCAAGATTTGGTTTTGAAATATAAGAACTTAATCTTTTTCCCAGATAGTTAACTAATTAGGATTATTAGATATCACAAAGTTATAATAATCAGAGGTCCCGAGCAGTTCTAACAGAAACATATGAGCCACATATGTAATCTAAATCGTTATTATATGTATTACATTTTTACATTAAAAAGTAAGAAGCAAGTGAAATTAATTTCAATAATATACTTTATTTAACCTAATACATCCAAAATATTATCACTTCAATATGTGACCATCGTGGGTAGGAAAAATGGTGGAATAAGAAAGACATCATTACCCTAGGTACATGTATGATTGAATGAATGGTGTGACCCCATTTCGTGAACAACCAGAGAAGTGAAAAATTGTGCTCCATTTGTGTACAATGAATTGAAGAGCATTCCACTGTCATGTATAACTGATTAGAATAAATTTTTAAAAATAAAAAATTTTTTAAAAGAATTCATCAGTGAACCAAAACAAAATACAAAAAAATATGTGACCATCATCAAAAATTATTCATAAGATATTTCATGTTCTTTTTTGTACTGAATCTTCAAAACGTGATACGTATTTCATATGTACAGCAAATCTTAGTTCACCTAGTCACAATTCCAACAGCCATAGGTGGTGGATAGCTACTGAACCAAATAGCATAGGTCTACAGCAATTTCTCATCCTCAGCACTGTTGATATTTTGAACCTAATAATTCTTTTTTGTGGACTGTCCTGTACATCATAGGGTTTCTAGCTGCATCCCTGACCTCTACCCAATAGAGATGAGTAGCTCCATCCCCTCAGTTGTTGCAAATGAAAAGGTCTCCACACATTGCCACAGCTGTCCCTGGATGAGAGACAAAACTGTCCCTTGTTGAAAACAAAAGGACTAGAAAAACTAGGGGGCAAAAATGTTGAAAATGAATCTTAGGATCATCTGAGAGAGAATTTTCATTTAGAAGCTAATATTACTATAGTCACTGAACCATGACAATAATTTATAATAATGGAAAAATCTATCGAGTTCCCATGTTCTAAATTCACAAAAAGGGAAATGAGGAACTGATAGGAGGAGAGTAGCAGAAAAGGAGGGAGATGGGAAGAAAAAGAAGGGAGAAAAAAAGGAGGAGACGGCTTTTTATATATCTTTATGCTTACTTTGGGCACCTATTCACAGAAAAAATATTGACTCAGCATTAAGCCCACCTTGGTGGCTGGAATCAACATGTAGGCATTTCAAAAAAAAACTGAGAATCTTGAGTTTGAAAATAAGCCAATGTTGGGGTGCCTAAATGCATCACAAAGTGCTTATGAGTTCAGGTTGTTGAGGGGCAACTATTGTTGTGCAATCCTACAATTGTCTAAGATTCCTTCAAAGAAGAGTATTTAACATCAGAAATGATGAGCAAAGGAGCCTAAACTCTATATGAGCTAATCTCTTCCAAAATCTCTCTTATCAACCAGGACCTCAAGAATTGGAAGTCCCAAGTAACTGTGATGTTTTCAAAATATTTCATTTTTTATGTGTCTTTTAAAAAGGCAGAAAAACCAAAGTTACAGCATAGATTTATTCAAGGAAAGAGAAGAAAGAGGCGGTAAAGAAAGAAAAAGAGAGGGGGGGAGGGAAGAAAGGGGTAGAGGAGAGGAATTAAATCAAGAGCACATTCTGGAATTCTTAACATTCATTATAATCCTATTCACCTGGATTTATGTGGATCTGTACAATATTAAAAATGTTGACCCATATGCACTGGGAAATCCTGTATTATCAGAAAATAGTCTATTATTTTCATTCTACTTCACAGTTTTTTTTAAGTTTATTAACAGCAAGAGCTAAAAACTTTAAGGTTCCTGTTTATAAAGGATTTCCTCTAATTGGCTGAGCTCATTGGAAGATACTGATGACCTAGCTGTTGGGCGTCTATAATAAGTACCCTGGGTACAGCAGACAACAACCTACTTATTTCCAAGTATCTTCCCATGGACATTTGGGGCTACTGGTACAGGAGGAATCTTTCCAGTGGCTCCGGCAGATGTAGCTTGTGGATGGCTTGATGACATGCTCGACCCAAACATTTCCGGACACACAGGCGGCAGAGCTGGGAAAGAGTAGGTGGGCCTGAGAAAGGGAATAAAAATGGTGTGAATCTCATGGTAGCAGGGAATCCTTATTTGGCCCTCTAGAAGAGATGCTTTTCTTTAAGTTGATCTTCCAATTGTATTACCAACATCAAAGAATGAGGCTATCCAGAGGCAATTAGGAAAGAAGTGAGGGGGTATAAAGAGAATGCACCTCATTTATGTGCCCTGTGCTATTGAACAGTGATATACTGAACAAGGAGAAAATGCAAATGACTATAGCATGCAAGACCCCAAGACAGAGCTGCAGAGCAGGTGTCAACAGGAATTTTGACCTGTGTGGCCACAGAGGCAGTATTAAGAGATGGGCCAGGGGCCAAATATGTAGCCCTTAATGTCTTCCTGGACCTCCTGACACTAGTTGGCCATGAGGTGGTATTGGCTGGGTCCTATCTCACACCCAGAGGGACCCTCCATTCTTGCAAAGATTTCAGCTCAATAAGGATGTGCAGAAAGAACTTAAAGCACTTAGACCCCATAATTCCCTGAACCTCACTTTCATGGGGTCTCAGAGTGCTCATGTCCATGACTTTCAGTAGCTTTGAATCCTTAAGGAAAATAAGTTGATGAGAGTTCAAAATATAGATGAATAGGATGAATGAGCTCTGGGTTGCAATACTAGTTCTACAGTGTTGAGAGCCACAGCCGAAGGGGCCCTAGCAAACTTCCAGCTGCCAGCAAACTTCCAGCTGCCAGTTGATGATTGGCTCACAGCGGCCCCAGCAAACTTCTAGCTGCCAACTGATTGGCTCTTTTGCTGATGATGTCATCAGTGGTACAATTTTTCCAAAAGGAGCCGTCAATTGGCTTGGTGTATCTTCCTCCCTTCTGCTTGTCATGGTCGTTCAGCTAAAATTTGGGGGCCAACAGAGGTGAGGCAAAGAACCTCACCCCCCCCCACGCTGGTACAAAGACCTATCCACAGGTGTGGCTGTATACTGGACCGGTAGTCAGTGACGGGTAAGATCCAATTGCAATGGTACCAACCTAAGACAGGAGGCTGACGCCTTGAGGTCAGCTCATCCGACGATGGGTAAGGACCATATGTAGTATTGGACAACCTAAGGCAGGCACGGTCCCTAAGCCACATGCTTGTTGTTTAAACATAGAGGAGGAGATGTTGAGAGCCACAGCAGAAGGGGCCCCAGCAAACTTCCAGGTGCCAGCAAACTTCCAGCTGCCAGCAAATTTCCAGCTGCCAGTTGATGATTGGCTCACAGCAGCCCCAGCAAACTTCTAGCTGCCAACTGATTGGCTCCTCTGCGGTGATGCTCATTGGGCTGTTTATTTTTCCAAAAGGAGCCATCACTGAACTGCTTGCAGAACTTGCCTGGACTATGAATCACTTGTATGCATTGTGAACTATCTGTTGGTGCAGCGACTTGTGGTAGTGTTGGAGTATTTCCCCGCCCTTTCAGACCACGGAGCTGCTCATTGGGGGACTTTTTTTGGCTCTGCCCATGCGACCCAGCCAATCAGCCTCAAGAGCAGGAGGAGTGGGGGAGGTGGAGAGGCTTGTGGGAAGCCAGTGGTGGCAGTTGGGCTCTGAAGGTTTTTCCTGAGGAGCTGTGTGGTTTGGTGTGTGTGTTCTAAAAATAAAGTTCGTTTCTTTTGACAAGTGGCTCCTGAATTGTGCCCAGCCAGACTGCGGCACTACAGGGGCATTCATATTATCCCATTATTTCCTAACCTATCAGTAAAGATCTCTTCAAGTATATCTAACTACTGACCTATACAAACTTTCCTTTTTCAAGAAAATCCTACTGTAACAGCATCTTATACCTCATGATAAATGGTGGACTGAAGGGCTGAGAGTATAGCTTAATAGTGAAGTGCTTGCCTAGCATATGTGAGGTCTTGGGTTCAACCTCAGTACCACAAAGGGAAAAAAAAGGTAGACTGCATATGCAAATATCCAGGTAACACTTAGAATGACATTGACAAGGAACATCCATGGATAGAGAGGTACCTGGAAGATGAATATCTTCAGTTAAAATCTCAGGAATCAAAAACATCTCTACCTGTCACCCCTTACATCTAGGGTCAAACTTTTAGAAATAAAAAAAATAACTAAGCTCCTCTGAAAAACAGTAACATGGACAAATTGTCCTGTTTGCCTGGAGAAGTTCAGACACAAGTGAACTTGGCATAGCTGATGTTCCTCCTTTAGAGCAGGTGCCTATATTTATAAAGATAGCACACAGAGGAACTTGCTTATAAGAATGTAAATCCTTGACCTGGAAACATTTTTGATGGAAGAAAACCAGAAATGTGACAACTGCTATAAACTATATACTCAACCAATCATTGCAAAGTACCTGGTAAGGAATATCATAATTATTCTGTTGAAGATTCAAGTAAAACAACAATCACTAATGACATAGACCACTGGAAATAATCTAGACCAATAGTGCTCAAAGTGTGATCCTTACACCAGCAGCAGCAGAATCAACTGGAAAGTTATTAGATATGCAGAGTTTAATCCTAGACCTCCAGAATCAGAATCTGCTTTTTAAATGAGATCCCCAGGTCATCATCTATATGTGCATGAAAGTTTAAGAGGCACTGGTGTAGAGAGACTTCCTAAAATGATTTAACAAAGCATTCTACTTGGAAGATATTAGACATGGGAGTGAGTTCACAAAATGGAACCAGCAAGTGAAATGAGACCCACACATACCAGAAATTGTTCTAGAAGCTTTAGGATTGGGGCCTTACAGCATTAAGAGGGGGTCAGACAGCTGGGGTCAGACAGCTGGGTTAGAATCCTAGTCCTACTTCTTAGTAGCTATATCACTCTCTGCAAGCCAATCTCTCCATGCTTTAATTTTCCCATTTGCAGCTGGCACAGCACCAGCTACTATAAGGTTTTCACTGCTTTTAAGTTTAAAGAATTCAGTGAGATTAATCTATGTTTCAAATTCATCTCAGTGCTGGCACAATTTATCTTTAATATTCTCCCCAGCATACAAATGATCAATGAAGGCTCACAAAATGTCTTCTTACTATACAGACATAATAGGGTTCTCTTTTGAATTTGAGACACCGGCACTGATAGTTGCTCTTAACGTTCATGATGGAAATAGGAGTGAGGAGATGAGGAACATAGAACCACATACTCCTCAATCTGGAGAAAAGGCAAACAATCTCACCATTTAGTTAGGCTTCTGAAATACACCTTCTGTCCCTTCTACTGCCCCAAACTTAAGTATGGTCACATGTCACCTAACAATGGGATAAGTTCTGAGAAATGAATCATTAAGCACTTTCAACATTGTGCAAACATCATAGAGTGTACTTATACAAACCAAAATGGCTATGATGTCACTATGTGATATAACTTCATGAGACAATGGGTTGTATATGCTGATCATCATTGAAGGTTGTTATGAGGAATGTGGCTGTATTTCTAATTTGCCTATGGATTGTCTCCCAATATTACAAAGTGGACTTTCGGTTTGCTTAATCATGTGCATATGATAGGATATCCCTGGATATTCATCCCTTTCAGGATGCCAACAAGGTTATCTGATTATTTTCTTTTTATGGAAAATAAAAAGCAATGATCTGATTGCATATCTATGTTATTTTGTTATTAAGTGAATGAACACAGCATATAAAATCCCAGAAGACATGGTAGTGATGCCAGAACTTGATGCCTTCTGCAATATCATCCCCAATTGGGAAGAGAAAAAGGAAAAGAAAATATTGCAGGGATGTGGAAGGAAGGAGAGATAGCAAGTGGGCTTAAGGAAAAGAAGTGGACACCCAGCCCTTCCTTACCTTCTCGGAGTAGGAGTGCCTGCTCTACACTACTTTTGGGAATTGCCAGATCAAGAGCACTTTTTCCCTGTGCATTTCTGAGCTTCAGATTAGCCCCATAGTCGGTCAGCAGGTGGATGATCTCTACACTGGACTGCCTTGCTGCAGCATGGAGAGGGGTGTCCAGCCATTGGCCATGGTCAACACTGGCTCCTTAACAAAGGAAATGGCCACAATTCAACATTAGGTGTGAATGTAAAACACAATCAGCCTAAACTGTAGTCACTGTATATGAAGTCATCTCAAATGCCATGACATATTTGACAAATCCTTGAAAATATGTAACTTCAGCCTAGAACCTCCACAATGCCCACTAAGACCATTCAAAATAGTGGGGTAAAAAAGTGAATCTGGATAATTTTAATCATTTTAAATAGTTTACTTGCTTTCCCACACAAAATGTGGGAAATAGTTAATAACTAGTACATAGTTATTTTATATTTTGACCAAGTATAAAGCTGAATTTCCTTATTTTTATATTGTATTTAGTTCTCTTATTTATTTATTTTATATTATTTAGGGCTCAAAAAATTTTCTGAACTCCATAGAGAATAGTAAATGCTATGAATAAAAAATGACCAAATAACGTCTTGGAGATAAAAATTCTCAACTAAAGGTTCTGACTAAATTTCTGCCTTTATGTCAAAGGCTAAGCACGTTGAATCTTTAACCAAATGATACTTTCAAGATATTTTACTTTTCCCTAAAATCTCAGTTTCTGTATATGTCTTTTAGATTTAAAAATGACTTAATAACTTTGCAGGATAGAGATAAAATAGTCTGTAGCAAATATCTGTTGTTTTTATTGTACAGCATCTTCCTGGTAACCACAGCTAGATTTCCCTCTAGGTTACCACCCTATTGTGATTTCCAGTTTACGTGTTTCTAGAGAAGCCTAATAACTACAGATTAAACTAAAATCTAGGCCTAAACCAATTAGCATATTGTATTCCTTTGGCCACCTTTATTGGTTCAGAGATAAGTATGTGAATCAAAAAGAGCCAATACTGGGCTGGGGATATAACTTGGTAGAGTGCTTGCCTTGCATACACAAGACCCTGGGTTCAATTCCCAGCACCAAAAAAAAAAGAAGGAAAAATAAAAGAGCCAATACCCCTTCTTGCTGTGTATGGATGAGAAAGGCAACAAACCCAGATGTTGCAGTAGCCATCTTGAGACCGCCAGGAAGAGCCATACCAGGTAATTGAAGCCAATATCAAAGGGAGCAGAACTGATAAATATAGACACCCATTTCTCTGGAGAAGTTCTGTTTTTAGCATTCAAGCATCAAATGCTATCAGAATTTTTTTTTCTATCCTAATAAGAACTTCATCTTTGAAGCCATTGAAAACCCCCACAAATTTAGCAGGTTCTTTTCATAAAAAGATTTCTGGTAATTACCTAATTCTAGAAGCTTCTTCACACAGTCTACCCTCTGGTAGGTGCAGGCTACATACAGGGGAGTTCCAAGCTGAGGCACCTCTTGGTCAATGTTAACATTATTTGCCAGCAGAATCTCCATGCACTCCCTGTGACCTGGTGGAACATAAGATAATCCCATTCATATTAGGAACACATTGAATATTCACAGAATTATAGATTCATTATCTGGAATGAGCTTTAGAAATAATCAAGGTCTCTTTTCATAGTAGAAAAATGTTTTTGTTTGGTTTTGGAAATCATAGATATAAACTCCCCAAACAAAAACGACTAAGAAGAACAGCATGCCCATGCTTCTTTTTTTTTAAGGATATTTAAAATTTAAAACATTATAATGATGCATAGTATTTGGGTTCATTTTGACAGAATCATACATACAAGAAATTTTATTTCAATCCCCATTTCCCCTCCCCCCTTTCCTCCCCTTATTCTTCCCCCTATTTTTCCTCTTCTACTCTACTAAACTTCCTTTCTTCTACACATACATAGAGGTGAAATTTCCTTGGTAACTTTATATATAAATATATAACATGATTTTGTTAAATTCACTCCACTTATCTTCCCCTTTCCCATCCTTCCTCCCTCTTGTTTTCCTTCTTCTACTCCATTGGTCTTCCCTATATCTTTATGATATCTGATCCCCTCCCTGACCACCTTCTTTCCTTTGTTCTGCTCTAGCTTCCACAGATGAGAGAAAATATTTGACCCTTGCTTTTCTGAGTCTGACTTATTCCACTTAACATGACGTTCTCCATTTCTATCCATGTGCCAGCAAATGTCATAGTTTTGTTCTTTATGGCTGAGCAAAACTCCATTGAATATATATACCACATTTTCTTGATCCATTCATCTATTGACAGGGATCTGGGTTGATTCCATAATTTGTCTATTGTGAATTGTACTGCTGTACACATTGAGATGGTTGTATCACTATAGTATGTTGATTTTAGTTCTTTTGGCATGGAATAGTTGATACCCACGCTTCTTCCATTCAAACTCCTCTGTGTAATTCCTGAGAAAACTTCAACCAAACTAAGGCTCTGAGGAACACAGTTGAAATCACTTTCTAGAATGAAGACACCATTTTAAAATGGAGGCTACAAGACCCAGAGGGGTAAATGAAGACACCCTGCTATTACCCTGAAGACAGTGGTGAGACTGGGGGTGTGGCCTGCAAGCTTACTTAGGTTAGCCTAGAAGATACCTATGAGAACAAATAAAAAGTCTCATGTATAGAATATATTTAAATATACTTTGAAATTCAGTGACTAGCAAGATTATGAAAGTAAGCATTCTCCTTGGAGAGTTTGTCCAATGAAGAGACAGACATGATTAATTTGCAGTATCTGAATGATCTGCTCAGGAGGGAATACTTCTGAGGTATTGATGGAAGCTTATAAAAATTCAGTTCTCCTTGAAGATTTAAATGTTTCCTTAAACAATCTTATCATCACTAATTTAACCAACCTTTTCTTTATAGATAACATTATTTTCATCCTATACCTGCACGATTTATCACAAATTCTGAATTAATCATAAGTATGCATTACAATGTACCAATCAGGATTTGTGTATTCAAAGTATTTGGTCACATAAATAAATCTTAAACCTGGACTATAGTATCAATATATCAAGATACTGACTCAGACTATGACCCAGCTTGCTCATAGATGTTTAAAGCTAAACAGTTTCTGGAAAAAAAAAATCTAATCAGTGCCTAAAACTGCCTAACAAATACAAGGCATTTTTTTTAATAATTCTTGCCTTTTTTTGGCAGAACAGAAAAATTAGCCTAGTTGGAGGTAAATTTAAATAGTCTCAGGAAGTTTTAAAAAATGAACAAACAAAACTTAATGACTAAAATTCATATAGCAATATCTAAAACAATGAATTTGCTAAGCATTCTTCCATTCTGTGCATATTGTTCCTTAACGAGCTTTTATGAAATAGAAAAAATATGTAGAGATATAAACTTGTAGGCACACAGATACAAAACACTCCATACATAATCAGACAAGCACTGCAGAATTACTTAAGAAATTTGAGCTGGGCACAGTGGCACACGCCTGTAATCCCAGGACTCAGGAAGCTGAAGCAGGAGGATTACAAGTTCAAGGCCAGTCTTAGCAACTTAGTGAGACCCTCAGCAACTCAGTGAGAACCTGTCTCCAAAAAACAAAAATAAAAAGGTCTAGGGTATAGCTTAGTGATAAAGCACCCCTGGTTCAATCTGAAGTAAAAAAAAAAAAAAAAGAGAAAAAAGAAAAAGAAAGAAGAAAAGAAATTTGAATTATTCCCAATATTTATCTATTTTTAAACATTTGAATGTACATGCAAGTAACCTTTTTTACTTCAAATCATTATTAAAATTTTTAAAAGACTTTCATTTTCAAAATAATTCATTATTCTGCAATTTAAAGGATGCTTGGGAAATGGCTCACATTATTAATTAATAAATAATATTTACTAAGAATGTTTTATACATAAAGGACATAGATATATTGAGATTTGGGTCTTTTGTATCATTTAAAGTAATCCACTGGGGAAAAAATACCAAATGACATGTTTATTAACCTGGGGGCAAATCTTTCACTTTTGCCTTTTGAAGTAAAGACTTTCATCTTCAAGTACACCAGCAAAGACCTATTCTAGATTGTTCTAACTTCTCCATTGTATTTCTGATTTTAATATAAGAGAAGTATCTGTATTACTAGACATCACCAAAATGTTGCATTTGGGGTATGACCTTTGACAAACGACCTTATCTTTTTAATGGCATCTTTTATTGTTCATGACTAGTCTATGCATATAGTTTGAAAATTCCTTAAAATTACTCTTTTTTTCTCATTTCAAAAGTAATGGACAATGCAGGAGTCTAGAGTCAACTTCAAAATTTCCAATGCCCTGATTTTTCAAGTTGAAATGCTTTTCTTTTTTTTTTTTTTTTTCATGACTATGGCCTTGAAGTCATCAGCTCATCTGAAGTGTATTTCTTAAGGACAGATATTTGGGGTAAAATTGGGAGTTCATAACCAACTTGAATCTAATGCATGAAATATGATATGTCAAGAGCTTTGTAATGTTTTGAACAACCAATAAAAAAAAAGACAGATACATTTACTAATCCATTAGAGATAGTATCATCCTTGGCTTTCAGGTACTTTCATAATTTATTTTATGTTAGTGGTTGATATTTTATGGGTTTTGGAAGATGAGCTGTTCTTTTCTACTAAAGGGCAGAGGCATAAGCTCAGTATAAATCATGAAGTTACAACTTCTGTCTTGGCTGCACTAGCTGCTCCCAAAACGCCAGCAAAGAGGCCCAGGAAGTGGGACATCTGAAACACAAAGACATTCCAATGTATTGAGAAGAGACTTTTCATGCCACAGTGGCATTTCTGAAAGATTTAGACAAATTGAAGTTACTGCTGTAGGATTTCTAAGCCACACACATTCTGTTGGTGAAAAGATGTGGGTGACTCTCATATGGCCAACAGTAGACTATTGATTTATTCAGATTGGAGTGAGCACACCACTGTTTTGTGTGCATTGTGGTGGCTCGTTTACCTCTCTTCACTGCCTCATGGATAGGTGAAGCCAGGTGCATCTCAGGCTGGGCCTTGGCTCCGAACTCCAACAGCACATTGACGCACGCAGCACTGCCACTGCAGCACGCATTGAAGAGGGGCGTAGCTCCATGAACTGTCACTCCATTGACCTAACAGTGGGCAAGGAGAGACCCAGAGGATTTGGTAGTTTGTTCTCACTCTCTCTAAGTATGTATTCCTGTGTATGTGCCTAGGGAAACTCCCCAAGCTAATGAATGAGTGAGGGAACTCCCTTTACATGAAACTACATAAGGTTATAGGACGGTCCATTAAATTACTATATGTTAAACAAAATATTGCCTGGCACTGAATGAACATTTGCAACAACTATTATTCCCATTTCCAATTAATATGGAGCTCATCTCCCTTTTCAATTGTGAACAAACATGGCAGAAACCCAAAGAAATAGAGAAACCAACTAGCTTAACCCATTAAGTTCCAAGTTCTCAATTCTGTGAATATTTCAATGAAATTGATATAAGTACATTAAAATAGGTAGGAAATCATAACCTAGAACTTATGTATCATTTATATATAATCATAAATATGATACATATATATTTCAAATGCTCTGATCATTTACCTATGATTTTTTTCTTAAGATAATAGATCTTTGAAAAAAACAATAATTATTTCAAAATTATAATAAGTGGTATATTTGTTGCTCAATTTAAGTATTTATATCTGGGATAATGGGACAAAATGGGTGAAGATTCCAAATCCTGTGCTTACAGAAAAAACTCCTTCACAACTTCCAACAGTTTTACCATCCTTCTTGTCACATATTTTCTCTCTGTTCTATTATAATCTACAGAAATTGCACATGCCAGCTTTGACTCCTGAGAGATAATGACCAAGCTAAAGGCACATAGACAATAGCCTTCAATTATCTCTAATCATCCTTGTTAACTTCTAGTGATATGGGAAACACATGAGAACCTGCAGGACTGGGAAGTATCATTGAGTATCAACAATAGATAGAAAAGAACACCATGGGACCCAGGTATTCAGGGAGGGAGGCTCTGATATGATTCAAATGTCATATCACAATGGTAGTTTGACGTCAAACTGCTTGACCTCAATAAGTAAAGATAGATGCTTGGAATAATCAGGATTCTAAATTATCTTATTTAGAAACAAAAATGACTTGTCTCCAGGGCTCTGGTATAACCCCATTAAAATGGCACAAACAGACAAAGATGGAGAAAATTGCATAAGAATCATATGCTAGGGATTTCTTACTAAAAAAAAATTCATGAAACTGGTTTGATTTGTTTTTTAATAAGCACCATCCTTATCCTCTGTCAGGAAACTCTTTTTGATTTCCTGTAAGTTTCTCTCCTGGTTCATATCAGCAAACATTTACTGAGTATCTACTAGGGGCCAATATTTTATAAACAAAGATAAGTAAGACAATTGCCTCTCTTTAAGTAGGTTGAGTTCTATTAGGGAAGGCAAACATAAAAGGAGACAATTTAGATACAAACAAGTGTTTTAGATCTCTATGGGAGTGGAACAAAGAATAACATAGACTTGAGAAATACAAAGGAAAATAGAAATATTTTGTGATTAAATAAATAAGAAAATGGCAGGAACAAGATGACTCCCAGGCATGGGAGACCAGAAGAATGTTTCGCCTAGTATCTGAAACTGGGAGCCCAAGATGAGGAGCAGATTCCAGCAGGAAGAACATGATATACACAGTTTCAGATGTGCTGAGTTTGAGGAATCCGAGCAGCAGCAGATTGTGGTGAACTTTCTACTGCTTGACCAAACTTTCACTCATTCTGATTTAATGTCAAGTGGTATAATACGGCATTTATTGGCTTTTACCTTATAAAATTGCCAAAGACAAGAGACCATTGTCTTATCCTTTGCTTTGTCCCCCACAAGATCTCTTCTCTGACCAGAGAGAAGTGTTCAACATTTCCCACCAGTGATCTGCTTGTAAGTCCAGTCATTTAGCTTGAAATGAAATCACCCTCCCAGAGCCTTGTTCTCATCATTACCCATGAGTTAAGTGACAACTTAGAGAAGCACTACCTAATGGAAATGCAGCACCATGATGTCACTGGAAAAATCAATTTGGGCCCAGAAGACTTTTATATTCAGTTCTAAATGTAGAAACCTAACTTCCATATGCAATCTGAAAAAAAAATCATCATTAAATACTTAAAGATCTTACAACTTTGGCTGGGGATATAGCTCAGTTGGTAGAGTGCTTGCCTCACATGCACAAGGCCCTGGGTTCAATCCCTAGCACCACAAAAAAGCAAAAAGATATTACAACTCATAAAACAAAGAACATGAGACTAGATTAAACAATGAAATTAGCAATAAAGCATTTTCTGGATGTCATTGAGATTTGCAGAAGTTTTGATTTTTATAAGCCTATTCTGAGAGCTGTATTATACATAGCACCTCTGCTATTAATTGAAGAAATTAAGATATAAGTTAAAATAAGATAAACCTTAATTTGTTTTAATGTATTATTTATTAAAAACTCAATTTTATAATTTTGCTCAATAAAAATAGTGGCTGGGGTAGAATACTGAATTAAGAGTGTTTTATTATTCTGTTAAAATTTGTTCTTTATCGTGTTTGATAACAAAGAATTTTTTTTAAAGTCAGCATCACAGGCTAGGGAAGTAGCTCAGTGATAGAACAGTTGCCTAGCATGCATGAGGCCCAGGGTTCTATCCCCAGCACCGCAAAAAACAAGTCAACATCACAATTTTGAAAAATTCCTGTGAATTGCTGCATTTGGATATTCGCACATGGTTAGGCTGAGAAAACGGAGTAACATGAATGATGAGATATGAACATGCGTGGGATAAGACCTGTCTCCACCCAGTCCCTCTCAGCAGCCTGGAAGATGCTGTCTCTTTAGGTGTTAGAAGATGTACCTACGAAGACAGATCCATATGGGCAGGGGTGGTACTCACATGTGCACCATTTTCCAATAAGGCTTTAGCACAAGCCACATGTCCTCCAAGGCATGCCTCATGGAGAGAAGAGACCCGATTAATTGTCACAAGGTTCACATTGACACCCTATAATTTGAAGAGAAGATAATTAAATGTTCCATTAGTCACAGCAGTGAAAGCAATGTTGTTCAACAGGTTCTTGAAGTTTTCCGTCTTTGGTTGTAATATCAGCACTGCATAGAGAGGAGTCAAGACCATGACCAGGTGAGTCTCAGCACAGCATGGGAGCTTCAATTTCATTTATTCAATAAATGTTTATGCAGTATTCTGGATCAGGGTCTTTAAAATTTATGCTACTGGTCTGTCTCCTCCAGAGCCTACTGGGCAGGCAGAAATGAAACCTAAAAGACTGAGATTGGAAGCACCACATTTCACTTGGGAGCACAGAGTTTCCTTGAGTCTGGCTTGGGAAATAAGAAAAAATACTTCACAAATAAGGTAGTATTTAACTAAGGCTTGAAGCGTAAAAACTTTAAAACTGGGAAGACAGGGTATGCCATTAAGAGGGAACAGAATACACAAATGCAGGAAGTATGGCAGGGCCACAGTTGGACAGTTGGTTATTTCTGGATCAGAAAGAGCATACAGAAAGGGGAAGTAGAAGATGGGGAGAGATGCAGGAAGCCAGTGAACTGAAGCAATATCATGAAAGGCCTTGATTTGCAAACAGGGAGTGCAGATCTTCTAGGGAATGAGGAACTTATAGATATAAGTTTGTTAGGCTTTGAACAATCTACAGCTAATAGATTAGCTGTTTTAGGAAAAGCATAGTGGAAGCAGCAACATGGATGGCTGATGGCAGAGGCAGAGATGTGAGGCAGAAGCAAGGAGAGCCACAGAGACATTGCTATAGGGTAAGATGAGTAGGTGATAGAACACAGAGGAGGTTGGGAGCTAAAACTGGGTCTGAAACAGAAGAATGACTCTGGGCTTAAAAGTAGAAAGTACTGTAAGACTGCTTCTAAGAATCACTTGCTGTGTGGCAGAAGTACTGCTTTGGCCATAACCCCACTACATGGAGAAGACTCTGAAGTCCCAGTGTCTAGGGCCAGAGGGATTCTCCTAACCCTTATCTATCTACTTACCTATGTATGATTGTCACCACCATTTCCTAGCCCATCCCCCCTTCTCATACTGCCGTGTACTACCTTGCTTATCCTAGAGTCCAAGTGACAGGTGACAAAGTCAGCCTAGCTGCTGGACAACTCTGCCTTCACACCCTGATTTTAACAACTTGGCTGTTCCCATTTCCTCTATGACTGACATTTTCTATCTGCAAAAGGAATTAGGTCCCTGATCTGTCCTTCCTGCCAATTCCTGATTTTGAGTCCATGCTTTGTAATGGCCTATTGAAAGCTTCCAAAGCCTTGTGTTACAATCCCGGAATGGCAAATTCCAATCTAGTACTCACTGCATCCTGCCACATCTCTGTAGTGTCAAGTGCAACCTGCTGTGGCCAGATTTTTATTGCCTGTCCTTTTATCATATGGGCTTTCTATGTCTCCTGAATTCTGTCCATTTTCATGTCCTGAATATGTCATTACTCTAGAGCTGTGCTACATATTTCAAATTCAGTATCTAATAAATTAATCTTTTCCTTTTCATTTCTCCATGTATGATTTGTTTTTAAATTTTTTAAAAATATTTATTTTTTTAGGTGTAGATGGACACAACACAATGCCTTTATTTTTATGTGGTGCTGAGGACCGAACCCGGGTCCCACCCGTGCTAGGCGAGCGCTCTACTGCTGAGCCCAAATCCCAGCCCCTGTTTTTAAATTTTTTATTGTCACATTGTAATTATACAGAATAGTGGAATTCATTTTGATTTCTTTTTAAGAAATTAAGATTTTAAAACAGTCTAGTCCATGAGGTGGCAGCATTGTGCTAGGGAAAAATAATTGCTGCAATACAAAATCTCAGAATCCCTGGAATTGGAGAAATGTAATGGACAGGCCTGAAAGATATCTAAAGTGAATCATCTTAATTGTGTGTGATAAAATGAAGAAGCAGGAAGTTCAAATTATATGTAAGACTTGACGCAGGAGGCAGAAAGTTCAAATTATAGGTAAGACTTGGTGACAGCCAGTGTAATAACCCCAGAATTCCTGAACCTTGGCTTAATATTTTACTCACATTTACTCAGAGTGGTTTAATGTTTTACTCACATTTACCACATTATCTAAATGTGGAATAAAGTTTTAAAAAGTAGAATATATTTTTTTACAGTGTGAAAGGTAAAGAAGTAGGGATGTAGCCAGAAAAAGTTAAAATTTTTATGAAATGCCCCTATACATTTAACCACACTGTTGAAGCTAACATGCTTAGGAGTTAGGGTTCAAAATAATAAGTGTTAAATGCAATATGGGATCTTGGGTTGGATTCTGTAACAGGAAAAGGACAACAGGGGAAAGGCTCATGAAATCCCAATAGTCTGCAGCTTGGTTAATGGTTATTGTACCAATGCTAATTTCTTATTCCTGACAAATGTACTAAGGCTATATATAAGATGTCAACATCAGGGCAAGCTGGGTGAAGGATGCCTGGTAATTCTCTGTATTGCCTTTGCAACTCTTCTTGAAAATTATTCCAAACTGAAGTTTATTAAAATACTAGTAAAAGTATAAAGGTGGGGGTCTGAAAGGGAGGTGGATATGAGACTTTTTTCACTATTATTGAACTATGTGAATATATTACATATATAACAAAATAATCAAATCAGATGAAATTAAAAGTGCTTAAAAAAATAAGCAAGTCACAAATTCAAGTACAATGCTCACCATTGCTGACAATGCTGTTTTCCTTGTGCCTCTGCTTACTTTGTTATGGGATAACAGAACTCAGAAAGGAGGAAGCAAAAATGGGGAGGGGGGAGCACGCACACACACTCACATACATACACACACACAAAGAGCAGTTCCCCTGGCTGTCTAAATTCAAAATAGTCACAAATATTTACTAGGCTGCTACTCATTGTTCAACATGCTTGGGATGTAGTCATAAGTCTTCACTAAAGAGTAAGATTTATCCATTTGTCAACCTATTTTAATGCTTGCTCTTGAAAGCATATCACTGGGGCAAGCAGCCTCCTCAGATGGTGCCCAGTGATTCCGAATTCCTAATATTGAGTCACTTGTATAATGCCTTCCCTTTGAGTGTGGGATGAACTTATTGAGTCATATCTAATGAGTAGAATATGGCAGAAGAGATGGGATTTCACTTTGGAAATTAGGTTATAAAAAAAAAACACTGCATGACCAATGTAATTCTGCAACCTGTACACTCAGAAAAATGAGAAATTATATCCCATCTGATTGAAATGTATGATATGTCAAGATCATTGTACTGTCATGTGTAACTAATATATACATATATCATATATATATATATATATATATATATATATA